CGTTCTTTTTTTCCGTCTGTAACTGTAACTTAACTTTTGTTACATATTTTTGATAACTAGTAACCAATTTAATAGTTAGTTTAAAAGTTACTTTATATATATTTCGATCTTCATAATAAAACGAAAAATGTCTCTATTTAGAAGATTTATTACGAATCCGTTCTGCTGAGAGTTCCCCAATTCTTGAACAAAATCTCGACGACCACGATGACTTTTTTGCTTTTAACAAGCAAACCAAAGAAATTGAGTCCGTACAAGAAGAATTGTATCGGTTCTTAAAATCGAGTAACTGCAATATCAGTATGTTAAACGATTATAGTGCAATCAAGAAACATTTTATAAAATATAACACGACACTTCCGAGTTGTGTATCTGTTTAACGGATGTTTAGCGTCGGTGGTTCCGTCATAACGCCACAAAGAGGACACCTCCTTGATGACATAATTGAATACCAAATACTGTTAAAATGCAATAAAAACTTTTATTAAAATTTTGGGTAAAATATTGGGTATTATTGAGTATTATGCGTAACTTTATAGAATTATAATTGTGGCAAGAAAATAAATTTATCAGTGGTCCGGGATCCTTTGACATATTTTCATTTTTTATTTTTATTCGAAAAAAGTAACTGTCAAGTAACTCGTTACTTTTCTTCAATAACTGTAACTGTAACGAGTTACTTTTTAGAATTGGTAACTTGTAACTGTAACTAGTTACATTTTTAGCGAAAAAACTGTAACTAGATACTTTTATAAACTAACTTTCCCAACCCTGTAAAAATTACAGGTGGTACTCTGGCATATTCCAGGTCCGTCCCTAAAGGGTTAATAAATAAATTATTCATCGAATTCTATCAATCAATTTGCAATCATCACACAGTTGGTACAGAAACGGAAAATTTAAGTTCTATTTTAAAAAGCTTACCTTTTATTTTCTATAGTTGATTTGTTTTTCAATTTCGAAGGAAAGGATATCGTTTTATTGATCGTATCTTTACATTGTCTCTTTTATTGACTAGAAAATTGAAGCAAACGAATGTTTATTAGACAGATAGTAAGATAAATGGTAGGAAGAAACGAGGGAAAAGAGATACATGATCCTATAGGGATTAGCATTGAATAAACCTAAAAAATCAATTGGTATTTTTCTTTTCTACAAGAATAAGAAAAATACCGAAAATTTATATTTATTTATTTATTATTATAAAATATCTTGTTTGAACATTTTCCTGATCATTCAGTTTATTCTTGCTGCTTTTCGTTGTTATCGCAGTCTTATGGAAGCTCGATACGGTTTACTATTGTAATCGGATTGGAAAAAAAGATGCTTCGTCTTCATTAACTATTTATTAGTGAAAGCTTCGTCATAATTATCAAAAATAACAATGTTATTTAACAAGAAAACAGTGAGACTTTTATGTAACGTTGTTCTTTTGTTTTTCATCTCCGATTAGTATCATCCTACAGAAACATTAATTTCTTATTATACTCAAATGCCGATGGAATATAAGTTTGATTGCATAACAGCAGATTGCAATCGACGTACGTCGATAGGAATTAAAACGACATTTGTGTGCATCTTCAATAAGACTGCATGTTAACTCATTAACAGATCAAACGTCATTGAATGTTCCTCTCTAGCAAGGCTATCTATCAATAGCAACGCATGTTAATAAATAAAATAATAAAGGAGTTCACTTATAAACCTATCGTCTATTTTCACTGTCAACGTGGTAACGAAACTCTTTGTCGATGAACGGTACGGAATTATCAGTGTGTATTGCTATCGTAAGCTCTGACAAAGGCGAAGCTCAAACCAAGGCCACATACGCAACAAGACCTACTTTGTAGGACTTCCTCGTTTCCTAATGCCACGGTTCGATATGCTCACTATGCTTCCTTAAAAAGAAAAAAAGTCACGTTTCCGAACATGGAGAAACTGACGCATAGCTTCCATATCTATCATTATTGCAAGTTTAAAAGAAAAAATAATTGCCACGCTGTAATTTCAAGTACCCAATGCCAATAATATTTCTAATTAGATAACAAAAGAATCCCTAATATCAGTAATGGTAATATGTTAGTTGACTTCACGTTAATAGAGAAGAAGGTACGAATATAAGGTAACTTCAACGGTGTTAGCTTAAAGTAAAATGTATAATTTTTGAATGAAAGGGTTTTATATACATATATTGGAAGAGTAATTTTCAAAGGAACAGTGTAAAGCTTAGAAAGTGAAATACGAAACTGAATTAAAATTTGGGCTCTCTCCTTGGTCCGCCATCCGAGGTACAGGGTGCGTCACGGAAAGCAGACGTTTTTGAAATAAATATTTCTCAGTTAATTTCTAGCGTAATTTTAATTTATTGTCACGATATGATACATTATTACATGCCATTTTAGGGTATTTATGTATGAAAAATTATGTCACTTAAATGGTGACCATTTTGGTGAATGCAACCTTGCAGTCGCTCCCGGAAGTTCGCTACTACTCTCTTCAACAGTTCTTCGTTTATCATTCCTAGTTGCTGGCGAATGGCATCCTTCAGTTCTCCTAATGTCCGTGGCTTTCCTTCGTAAACGCGCGGACTTAAGATAGCCCCATAGAAAAAAATCACACATTGAAAGGTCAGGTGACCGAGGAGGCCAAGGAACGTCACCGAATTTTGAAATGAGGCGTGCAAAGTTGCATTCACCAAAATGGTCACCATTTAAGTGACATAATTTTTCATGCATATATACCCTAAAATGGCATGTAATAATGTATCATTTCGTGACAATAAATTAAAATTACGCTAGAAATTAACTGAGAAATATTTATTTTAAAAACGTCTGTTTTCCGTGACGCACCCTGTATTACAAACGTTTTAGCTTTTAGCCGTAATAAAAAGTTTCTTTAGTCGGGCTAATATTCTCATAGGTACGATTTTATTATTACACTTTGTTTTATTTTGTGAGCTTTAAAAAAGCAAAACGGGAAAATTATAATAATCACGGTATTAGTACATCAAAGTATTTGGGTTTTGATTATGATAAATAATAACAGATAGTGAAACGAGAAATTGCTAGAAATATGAGACAATCTTCTATTACTACTACATTTTTGAAATTTATTAAATGAATAATAAAATGAACATATGAACATATAAAATTTGCATATTTTGCGATAAAAGATTATAAAGGAAAATTGTGGATTTAATACCACTTATGCCACTTAATAAACTTTTCGATTAATTGTGATTAATTGTGGTTATTATTCTATGTTATTTACTTTTCTCAAAAGTAACACTCTCATATTACTATCTGAACTTCTATTAGCCTGAATTTATCATTTATCAAAAGTGAGAAAAAAAAGAAAAAAGAAGTTTTGTAAAGTCTATACATATAATATTTATCTTTATACAAATTTCTGTATTTGATTTTTCCATTTACGACTGTTCCGAGACTTTCCAGATCTAATAAAAATAAAATGAGTATTCCATATTCGTACCCTCTCGTCGGTATCTAAAGTACATAGTATTGATGAAAAGTAACATTTATCGAAGACTCCTTGAAGTAAAATCTTTCTCCGAACGATGTTAAATCAAATTGAAAATCCGCTTCGAAAGGAACGCGAGAGAATCGACAAAGTGCAATTTCCGCGGCGGAAATTACATCTACGATCAGTGGGAAGAGCTTTGTTGAAAAGCTTCGTTTACTGAAACATTCTGTGCTCATCCTGTGTACACACGTTGCGACCGTGATTGTATGTACAAGTATTCAGATAATGATACGTGTACGATATGAAATGACAACCTTTATTTGAAGTTTTCCAAAAATATCAATAATACAAATAATAAAGACACGTGAAAAGCATGATGAGATAATGAAATAATCAAACACACTCGAGTGCTGTTCAGAATATATTTACAATATCTTACAAAGTGATATTGTTTGAATGGTCATGATTGATATTGATTGAAGAATTCGGTGATAGGCAATGAGTGGCTCTTGACCAATCTCGACAACGAAAATTATTATTAAATTACCTGATTAATGCTATCGGTGAACAATTTATAGAAGAATCTATAGAAATTTCATTTAATTACTTGTTCTTTTCCAAGTCCGATGTTTTCTTCGAACTGATTTTAATCAACACTAACGAGCAGCCACTGTTACAAGTAGGTTTTTCTCGGTACACGAGAAGCTCATTTTACATCAGCTCGGATGAAAAGACGAGCTTTATATTGAGAAGAACCCAGGAGAATACTTCTAAGAACTGCGTGCGACACTGTAGAAAGCAATACTTTTCAGATTTTCTATTATTAGTATTATTGCAATAATTAACTCGTTAATTATATCTTTGCAATAGCTAAATAACGAAACAAAGTCCTTGTACTAATTGCGATAGGAAAATATTTGAACCTCCTTGGCGGACCATGGAGAGAAACCCAGTTTTAATCTAACACCGTACATATTTCATTTTCTATTAAAGGAACAGTGTGAAATTTAAATAATAATAATAATTTAAAAAAATTACGGCTCTCTCCGTGGTCCGCCGTCCGCCGTCCTAGGATTAAACATTTTACCACTCCAACTAATTGATCAACCTCTCAAGAGATCACAAATCACCGAACACCTATACACTGTTCAACGAACAATGCTGAAAGTTCCAATAAGCAGATGTCCTCCTCGTTGAAGCTTTCTTCATGGTCGCAAGCTTCTTGGTCGTCAGTCGTGTCTTGCGTCTCGGCGACGAAGCACACCCCCAACCCTCCACGCGAAAGCATCCCTCTCAGAGTCGATTCAACCGCCAGTCGAATACGATGGACGACGCTTAGAATTTATCCACGATATGCGAGCACTATTAATTATCAACGAAACAAGAATTTATAAAAAAATATACTTGTGTACACGTGTCGATACATGGAAGTTCGATACATGTGGTTTATTTCTGTCTACTCGACGCGATGACGGTCAGGACTTTTTAATTAAACTTGTGTGAAATTAATCAAGTTTACCATGGTGGATAAATTACACGAGTACGAGGGTTTCGCTGGAAGGGTGCACGGCGTTCGTGATAAAATTAAAGAGAAATGGGAGGTGTGGAAAGAGTGGAAAAACGGGATACCATTGGACCAAGGTATCGAAGGGGTTTTGAACCATCTCCGTGGACCACCGAAACTCGAGAGAACTTTGGACGATTATGCACATGTTTATAGGTAATTTTTTGGAAAATTCCTGTTCATCGACTCCTACCATTTTTCTTGAAAAATACAAAATATTATAGAGGATTTTAGAAAATTCACCTACGATCACCCGTTTTTATAGAAAAAAGACACGAGGCGAACTAGTACGTGTATCCGCGGCTGTTATGGGAATAGAATTCTCTTACGCAGCTGAAACAGCATTCGTATCGCCCACGTTATTAAAAATCGGCGTGGACCATCAGCATATGACCCTCGTTTGGGCCCTCAGCCCTCTCATTGGATTCTTTGTTACACCGATTTTGGGAAGTTTGAGCGACAGGTGCAGGTTGAAATACGGAAGAAGAAGACCCTTTATTTTATTGCTAGCGATTGGAGTGTTAATCGGTAAAATGAACTGAAAACTTCATTAAATATAAAGCGAAGCGAAGATGCAATGAAATCTTTTCTATGGTTTCGAAGGATTGATACTAGTTCCAAATGGCGAAGACATGGGTTACGCTTTCGGAGATACACCATCGACTCACATTAACTATACCGTTCCGCTTGGGCATCGAACCACAGCGAAACAAGCAAAAGAAGATTCAATTAAACCCCCATCGCATTCCTGGGGAATCTTCTTCACGATTTTAGGCACGGTTCTTCTCGATTTCGACGCGGATGCTTGTCAGAGTCCGGCTAGAGCTTATTTACTCGACGTCACCACACCTGGCAAGTAAATGAGCTTATCGTGTCTTGGTCCGAACTATGCATCTCCAACTTAATATTTCATTCAAAGCGACGTTTCTGTTAGCGTATCGCTTTTAATGAAGTACGAACATGCCTCGTTCAATTTCGAAACTTCAAAACTACAAAACTTTAGAATCCACCAATTTTCAGTTATTAAAATAAATTTTTCTAAATTCTAAATTTAAGTTTTCACCAATAAAAGGAGAGAAATAATATTTAAAAAATTCCTTTATTTGCAGAGGACCATGCAAGAGGTTTAAGTACGTTCACCATAATGGCAGGTTTAGGGGGTTTTATGGGGTACGGGCTGGGTGGCATAAATTGGGATGCCACAGCAATAGGTGTCATGCTCGGTGGACATCTTCACGCCACGTTTACATTAATTACCATCATCTTCGTTATTTGTGTATCTTGTACCATCACCAGTTTCAAAGAGATCCCTTTGGAATTGCTAGAAAGGGATGAATACCAGCAACTCCAAGAACAAAGGGTTTGTTCATTAATCATCCATGGAAATTTAATTTAATTCTTTAATTTTCTCTTAATTTTGTTCAGAAATCTGAAGAAAAGAGTGATGAACAAAAGGAGTATGATAAAATCACCACAGATGAATGCGCATCTTATGGAACAGTGGAAAATGATCAAGAAGTTGCTACAAGAAGAGATGTAAGTCAATTTTACAAGTGGAAAAATAAATGTTTTATTTTCTTATTGATTATTTTTGTTGGACAGGAATTTGTTCTAAAACCTCTTCCAGTACAGGAATCAGAAAAGAGGGCTGGTCAAGTACCTATGATGCCAGATTCAACAACAGAAGGAAACAATTATATTCAACCTGATTTTGACGAGAATATGGAAGGAAATCCTAAAGCTACTTTAAGGGAATATCTTCTTTCTATAGTGTACATGCCGCACAGTCTTCGCATGGTGTGTTTAACAAACTTGTTCTGCTGGATGGCCCATGTTTGTTACTCTCTTTACTTCACCGATTTTGTTGGAGAAGCTGTTTATGGGGGTGATCCACAGGTTGACTTCAACAATATGAATTTGTAAACTACTAGTAATTGAAAATTAGATGAATTTAATTTGCAATTACAGGCACCGGATGGCAGTAAAGAACGAGAACTCTACGAAAGTGGTGTTCGTTTTGGATGCTGGGGAATGTCTATGTATTCCCTTTCCTGTTCATGTTATTCATTAATTATTGAAAGATTAATTGAACGCTATAAGTAAGAATATTAAGCAGCCTGAAAATCTCGGTTTTGTTCATTTTTCTGAACAAGTTTTATACAATGTTTTTATATCTTTCACAGAGCTCGAAGGGTTTACATTTGCGGGCTATTATTCTACAGTACTGGAATGATGATGATGGCGTTGACAAAACATCCCGTGGGAGTAATTGTGTTCTCTTGGACCGCTGGTGTTATGTACTCCACGTTGTTCACTATGCCCTATTTGTTAGTTGCACATTATCACGCCTCGTCGACTGTGAGTAATATTTGCAATCAGCCTTTCCTTATCATCAGTTCCCTACGCACGCTTTATACAAATGACCGAAGCAGTGATTCCTCTTCAAATACAAGAAGATTTTTATTGTACTATAGACAATAACTGATTCCTATTGGTACCTTCAAAATGTTTCCCTTTAGTGGTGGCAATAATTTAATAAAATACGATAACGTAATGCAATTACGTGTATCGAGCAAAAAATTGAATTAGTTGACTTTACAGTTCGAGGTGACAGCAGAGGGTGAAGCCATTCAAAGCGGAGGTGTCCGTGGTCTTGGCACAGACGTGGCAATCGTCTCCTCCATGGTGTTCCTAGCGCAATTTCTACTCTCCTGCTGTTTGGGAACGATAGTTAGCCAATCTGGAACCACCACAGCGGTGGTGTGTGTGGCGAGCACCCTTGCTGCATGTGGAGCCATTTCTGCAACACAAGTCATGTATCTGGATCTCTGAGTTTCATTCTGAAATCCTTTTTCCACTATCCCATCTATTTATTATTCTCTGAAACGCAAATTTGAAAGTGGTTGGGAAGCTTTATTTTAAAATATGTATAAAGTTTTGTTGAGTAGAAGAGTTGTAAAATTCTGAAATTTAAATAGTTAGATTTATAGCATTTATAGAATAAGTGGAACGCAAGAAGAATTATTTTTCTTTGTTTTCTATTCAAGTTTTGTTAAATTATAATACTAGATAATAATTTTCATTTGATAAAGTGAATTAATGTTTTTTTTTTTTTTTTTCTTTAATAAGATCTTGCGCTTTATGAGAATGTAATAATGCACAAATAATGGCTCTATGTATCTATATAGCAGATACATCCTAAAGTTATAACTGTTATGTGGTCAAAGGAAACCTGTAAATAAATGTAACTTGTAAAAACATAATAAAAATACGTAGATAGTGCAATGTATTTAAACGAATGGAAAAAAGAATATGTCTTGACCGCTATTGTTTAACCGTGCTTTCTTAAACCACAGATTTTAAGAGCAACATGAACTTCTCTGGCAATGAATTTGCTCAGTTTGTGAATGTATTTTTGAATGTACTCATCGTTAACCAGATCCTGAAATCAATGTTACTTCTCATAATTCCGTAATACTTGAGCAAGTATTTCTTTTGCAAATTTACATACCTGTACAATTTCATAATTTCGATTCTTACAAATCACAGGAAATGAAAAGAATATATCAGACCGGATATCATAAGAATAATCAGATGCAACTGACATGCAAGTCCATTCATTTTCTGGGGTGTCATTCCATAAGATTTTACAGTGTTCAGCCAATCCATATGCCATTGATCTAACGCAATATGGTCTGTTACTGATATTTTGCAAAAGCTATAGAGAATACACTTTTTGTTTTAAATTGTTGAAATTTAATTTATGATTGTCTGTTTTGCAACTATAAGTATCAAACTTAAGTGAAATTTATCTCATTATTTTTCATTTCTTGAAGCGCTTCTATACCTGTGGAAGAGTGTTTCGTAGCCACACTTTAAAATTATTGTGCGTACTCCTTCCATCTGTGAAGAACATGTACCTACAATCAGAAAAGTTGAACTTGTTATTCGTGCCCCATATAATCACGTTTTTGACCTCTGTTGGAAGACACTTTGCTCGAGCAGCAATCTGAAATGAATCTAACTTTGATTTTGATTCTGATCAAGTTCATACATATAGATTAAATCATACACAGGCTTTAGTAATAGTTAAATTGAACATTGATATGGCAGTTATGTTAGTGGAGGGAATAGACTTCACATATTTGGATATAATTGTAGCAGCAATGTTTCCAATCACAATAATTTTTGCATCCCTTTTCGCATAGTTTTCTATAGCTTGACCCTACGATAAGAGGGAAAGCAGATTTAAATGTAGAAAATCATACCATAGAATTATTCATAATACATAGAACTTTGAAATCAGAATGTAGTCTTTAAAAAATGGATCCGTGTATTCATCTTCAGTGAACTCGTACTCCCTTGCAAGGCCAATGCAAATTACAACATCTGCATCCTTAAATTGGACTGATGGATTATGACCATGATTAATACCTGCAAGCATTAATCGTTAACTACCATGAATTCTTGGTATCTTAAGAGCTTTTAGCATTTTGAAACTTACCGTGCAGATTGCTGGGGCTAAAAGAGGTGAGCTCAATCGCAACAGGCTCCAGGAACAACGCTTTGTCCTTGAAATCGAAAATGCTAATAAAAACTAACTGATGTTCTCCAAAAACTTTGTCATATAATATTCTACTCAGAAACGCGAGTGCGAGTTCTGTGGCTCCATCAGTAACTACAATCTTTAAAACATCATTTTGATCATTTATAGAATTATTAATGGTGGTCTTGCTTCTTCTTGGATTCATTGAGACCATTTTACTGTTTATCAAACGAAAATCAATGGTTTTAGTAAGTATAGGGTGGTCTATACACAATCTAAATCTGATATGAAAAGTATACATTTATTTTACAAATACGAATTTTGTGCCAGAATTGTCGAAGATAATTGCATTGCCATCTACTGTGAATAGTTTGAACTAGAAATCCTTTAAAATTTAATTGGTACATACAATGGATAATGTCGGTATTCTACACTGACAATCTATTAAAATAATTTGACACCTATCCATTAGCTATACTAATAGATATATGTAAGTACAATATTTAAAAAAATAAGTTATTACATTTTCATAAAATTTTATTTTTACGTTATTTATGTTGTCATTGTTTAGATCTTTCCAATGTTTCCAAAAGAATATCCACGATGGATATATTCTCACCCATTATGTAACGTGACTTCTTACGAATATCATTACACGTATTTGCATGCAAGATACTGTGAATCTTTTCTAAATAGTAGTCTATTTCATTTGCATACAACACGCCTTTACTTTCGTAAGGTAGAACATGTGGATAAGCGTTTTCAATTAGACGATTAATGTATCGTGCTATGTTCACTTCACCCATTATCTGATGCATACCCGACAAATGCATTATTGGATCAATTCCAATTGCCTTCCATATTACTGTGAAATGAATTACAGCATTTTCATTCGAATTTTGGTATTCTGAACAAAAAGTTAATAAATCATTTGGTAACTGTTGAACGCTAGAATGTATATGGGATGTTACAGAAATACTGATATAAGGTTTTATGAAGTAACAGAAAGATTCGATAAACTTAATTGGATGCTTCGGATCACAAAATATAATGAGTTTTTGTTTTTCCAATTTTCCCGATTGTTTAACTGCACAGGATTTATTTTCGTACTTGTATAATTGTTGCTTTCTGTCTTCAACCTCCTTTTCTTGAAGAGGAACACGTTTAATCCTGTTAGAAGAATGTTTTATTTGTCTTACTTGTTCATTTATTTAATTGATTTACTTGTTCATTAATAATTTATACATTAAACACTAAAAGAAGTTATGCGAAGGGCTTCAATAAATTATAACATATATAATGTATAAATTAAGGCGTGTATGTTTTAATTCCAGCATTATAATTACTTACAAAAATACTTTAAGAATGTTTTGAAAGATATTTACTTGTTTAATCGACAAATAGGATTGTTATAAACCATCTCCATATCCACCCTTGGTCCAACTAAATCTCGTATGTTGTTTAACCCATATTTAATCATAGTTGGTCTATACAAAAAAAATGGAAGTTTTTTATTATGAAATATATAGACATTGTTTAAATATACATACCTTTCTAACGACAATCCCCAAGCAATTACATTCACATTTTCAGGCAACCCCATTGGTAATAACATTTCTGGTCTGAACATTCCGCTATTACCGATTTCTATCCATTTTTTCAGACCATCATGGTAACAGAAGATTTCCATACTCGGTTCAGTGTACGGATTATACGCTGGTTTGAACCGAAGCTGTGTAATACCAAGTTTCTTAAAAAATTCGTACAATATTCCTATTAAATCACCTAATGTGAGATTGTAATCAGCGACTACACCTTCGATTTGATGAAACTCTGCAAGATGTGTAGCATCCAGGGTTTCATTACGGAATACTCGATCTATACTGAAGTATTTTACCGGTTTAAAATCACCCTAGAATATATTTATACAATTTTATAATCATGCTGGTATTATGAAATGCTACAATTTTTAATCCATTTACCTCTTGCATAAGTTTGAAAAGCATACGCGCACTGACAGCAGTTGTATGGGTACGAAGTACATTTTTTTGTGCCTCTTCTATTTTCCAATCATAACAATATCCTAAAGATCCATATCCTCCTTCGCTATGAACTTTTTTCACCTTTTCCAAATAATCCATTGGAAAATTTGTACTACGAGATGGATCTATAGTAAAAATATTGATACACTACCTTTGTAAAGATATCACTTTAATGAAATTATTAATAAAATTACCAGATATAAAGAAGGTGTCGTGTGCATCTCTTGCTGGGTGTTGCTGAGGTTGGAATAATGCATCAAAGTTCCAAAAAGAACTTTCTACAAAATTATTGGTTGGCATTTCTGTAAACCTAGAAAACAAATAGTAGAAATACAAGTAAAACAAAGTGTTAGAATACAGTACCTAAAATTACTTTTTCTCTTACATACCCCATTTCAAAGAAAATTTTTTTAAATTCAGTTCTAACTTTTAATAAAGGATGTAAGTGGCCTACTTCAAGAGCAGCACCAAGTGCTTCAAAGTTATATGGTTTAAATTTTTTATCTTTCCAAGCACCATTCACCAATAAGTCTGCAGTCAATTCTGTTTCTAGTTTCTCAACTTTTCTTGAAAAATTTATTCCTTTTCCCAATTGTACAGATTTAATAATTCTGTTGATAATAAATTACTTAGGCATATCTAATATGATCAGCATTTGTATATTCATGGTATGCACAACTTACATCTCTTGAATAAGTTTTCTTTTTTTGTAGTCATTTCTCTGACGATCAGTCAAATTTGCAAGATTTTTTAAATCATTTTGTGTAACATCTGTTATAGAAGTTACCTTTTTTTTTATAATAGGTGTACTGGATTTATCAATTTGTATCCAACCAGCAGTCAAAGCTTTAGAGAATCCAATTTTTGCAAATGGTATCGATTGCATGATTTTAGACTGAGGTATCCCATCATCAGGAACTGCCTTATAAACTGCTGCTTCGTGACTTCCATGATTCACTATGTGTTGTCCTTCCGATGTTAATTCCCATTTTCTGTCACTGATTTGTTTAGTGGTAATCAACTACAAAGAAAATCATGGTGACATTTACAATTTCTATAGTTTTTTATTAAAAGAGAGGTAATTAAATGAACATAAGTATAGTTTTCAGGGTTAGGGAAAAGATTAAATGCATATGGATTCATCTAATCATATATTCATAATGAACATGATATTAAAAGAAGCAATTATATCATTTAATATATAAAATCCGACAATCCATAAGTATTAAATCTGTGCAGTTATAAAATTCAAGTTTCTTTAAACTTACATCACCAACTGTTTCCAGACTTTTAATTGCTCCAACAATTTTTTGATGATTTTCTTTTAAAATTTCTGCTAAATCAAGAGAATTTACTTCTTCGTGCTCGTCCAAGTAATTCAATATTTTATCAGTCAATTCTTTCGTCATATTTGAAATGTTTTATTTTACGGTAACACAACCGGTAAGACACCATGTGAACTGCAGATAATCGTAACGCTACAGTAATCAATTCTAATCGCGTTATGTCACATTTTTTTTTATTTTGACAATTATAAAAAAAAAATTACAGCACTTGATTATTATATCGAACAGATTTTCAATGAATCGTATATTTAGAATATGATTAATCATCATTTTATATAAAAAATAATTGCATACCAATCATGTCAAATTTTATGTATTTCAATATAAACTTATAATGATACATTTTTATAATATCTGCTTCCTACATATTTTTACAAATAATTATCAGAAAATATTTACATACAAATATTTGATATTATACAAAGAACTCATTTAGAAAATAAAATAGGGTTGTGTAAAGGATACAAGAAAAACTATATTATTTTTCAAATATATTTTATTGACATTAAAAGTACAAATTATTTGAGTGGTATAAACCTTGAAGAATGGGTAGCACCAATACCTGGTCTACCGTGCTTGACAGGCTTATAAGTAACAGAGAACTCTCCCAAGTAATGACCAATCATTTCTGGTTTGATTTCAACTTGATTGAACGTCTTGCCATTGTAAACACCAACGATAGAACCAACCATCTCTGGTACTATGATCATGTTGCGCAAATGAGTCTTAACAATTTCTGGTTTTTCATTTGGTGGTGTTTCCTTTTTTGCTTTACGTAACTTTTTTACAAGAGCCATAGATTTTCGTTTTAATCCATGAGAAAATCTCCTACGAGCACGAGCATGCATCAACACCATAAGCTGCTCACTAAAACAAATATTTATATTGAATAGTTTGCACAAAACTTATGGTATACTCTAACATTTTTCAATTATAATAACCTGTAATTACTTCACTTTTTTTTTTAAAGTGAAACAATACTTACTTTGGCATATCCAGGAGTTGATCGAGATCAACTCCTCGGAAAGTGAACTTTCGGAAAGTCCTCTTCTTCTTCTGGGTTTCTTCTTGCTAAAATCATACATGACAGGATGAGAAATAGGTTATATTATGTATAAAAACATTTACATTTATACAGTAATATCGTATCTTTAAGTTAAAACAGAACCCTAAAATTTATTCTATGATATCTGTATATATGTTTTTACATCAGATGAACAAGATTTTGTTAGATACTTTCATCAAAATTACGACCCATACCTCAGCCATGTTTGCAGTTGGGGGTTGCGACAATAAGAAATAAGATATACTTTTCTGCGCGGAATCAACGCCACCACTAACTAAATGTTTCTAGATAGAGAACAAAAATATATTTCTTTTTTATCATACTTATGAAATATTTGAGCCAATAAATATGCAAATGCAATATCATTTTTTTCTATTAACGCCTTTATTAATAATATTAAATAAGTTTCTACTTTACTATATTATATTATATTAATACCATAATAATAAAATATCATTTTATATTAATAAAAAATACTGTTGCCTCAGATTATGTATTGTTTCCGTTAAATGATGGTATTTTGAAATATTTTCTTCAATTAATATACAGTTGATAGATTATCAACTATAAAAAAATTTTGAATATATTTATATTTCTAAAACTTCAGTTTACTATATTGTTTTTTTAGTGTATGAAGAATGTGTAACATAGTGGCGCTAAATCTTTTAATTCTGCCAGTGTATGTTCACATATTTAAGAAGAGATACATTCTCATTGGATCTGAATAACATTCAATAAAATCAAGAAACTTTGAATAACCGACGTGCATCAAAAGCCAAGCACGGATCAATAGACACATCTAGTGTGAAAGAATTATCACGTAAAATATGAAATACATCTTAGTAACTGGTGGTGTAATAAGTGGAGTCGGTAAAGGTGTTATTGCGAGTTCCTGTGGTACTATGCTTAAACACTGCGGTATTCGGGTAACGTCTATTAAGATAGATCCTTATATAAATATAGATGCTGGAACTTTCTCCCCGTATGAACATGGTATGTCATGGAAAATATATTTTCTTTATTTTCTTTTTCATCTAAATCAATTCCAGGAAAGCGTTTTTCTTTGACATTGCGTATAACCATGTGGTGTTAGAAGCTATTCTGTTACTGTGGCGCACTTTGCAGTCACGTGTTGTATCTTTAGCATTTTTTTTGGTCAAAATTCAATTTAAAAATTGAAAGAAACTCGTTTCTATTTCTCACTTAAAGTAATGGATTTTAATACATATGTTACCTTCTTATTAAGTAGTATTAATTTGTTCACTGCAGAAGTTTCTCTGGTTAAATATATGTTCATTACCTGAGCAGATGGTATATTAGCTAATAAAATTAGTTATTTTACAGATAAAGTAATTAGGACTATATTTACAATAAAGTTTAGAGTATTACATGCATCAGTACAGAGTATAAAAATAAATAAATTTTCAAGAGATTAATTATAATTGTATGTGTATATACACATATGATTAAAATAAATTTGTTTCTTTACTACTATAGTTGATGAGATTAATTTAACATAGTAAAAAAAGAATATTGAAGGTTATCAGAAATTAATCTTTATAGGAAGAATTATGGTCATATTTTGTAAATAGTGTTATCAATTCCTGTTAGATATACCTTTTGTCTTATTAATATTTATTGCATTTAAGGAGAAGTATACGTTTTGGATGATGGTGGAGAAGTAGATCTTGATCTAGGAAATTATGAACGTTTTCTAGATGTTACTTTACATAGAGACAACAATATCACTACAGGGAAAATTTATCAACATGTGATCTCAAAAGAAAGACATGGTGATTATTTGGGAAAAACAGTTCAAGGTATAGATACTCAACTTCTAAATCTATGCCATTGGGAAGGCTAACGCAAAATGAGTATTAGCAATGTTTCCTTTGAATTTTAGTGGTACCTCATATAACAGAGGCTATCCAAGAATGGGTTGAACGTGTTGCAAACCAGCCGGTAACAGAAAATAGCGATCAGCCTGATGTAATATCATAATTGTTTAAAATGAACATAAGTTAATATAGCCTATGGTATATAAAAAAGAACATGTAAATTGATTTATATTTTGTCAATTGTAGGTATGTATTATTGAATTGGGTGGAACTATAGGAGACATTGAAGGAATGCCATTTGTAGAAGCTTTTAGACAATTTCAGTTTAGGGTGAAAAAAGAAAACTTTTGCTGCGCTCATGTATCCCTAGTGCCACAAGTATGAACCTCATTTATTTGAATAACTCTCCTTCATTGTTCTAGACCTTGACATTGTACTGATGCCAAGTTGATTTATTCTTAGCTTATAGAACTATATAATTTGTAAAAATTTATAGACACGTGAAGTATAGTAAAAATTCTTAAAGTACTATTTAAAAGAAATATGCAGTGGAAATATTATTCTAAAAACAATTATTTTCAGCCAAGATCAACAGGAGAACCAAAAACAAAACCAACTCAGTCCAGTGTGAGAGAATTACGAGGTTTAGGATTATCACCTGACCTCATAGTTTGTAGATCAGAAAAGCCAATAGATGATTCTGTGAAAGAAAAAATTTCAAATTTCTGTCACGTTGCTCCAGGACAGGTGGAACTCATTAATTTTGTTAAAATTGTCATAAATATAGTTAAGGGAAGCTAGTTAAAAATTTTTATTTGCCAGGTCATAACTGTTCATGATTTATCATCGATATATCGAGTACCTCTGTTAATGGAATCTCAAGGGGTCATTGAATTCTTAAATGAAAGATTACAATTAAATATTGGAATGCCACGACCAAGATGTTTTATGCGAAAATGGAGAGATTTAGCCGACCGTATTGATCACTTACGAAAGGAAGTGAATATTGCATTAGTAGGAAAATATACGAAACTAGAAGATTCCTATGCATCGGTTACAAAAGCATTGCAACATGCGTGTATTCAAGCTGGTTATAAACTTAAATTAACGGTAACATTTTAAATATATTTCTACTATACTCCTCCTGTATTGATTAGTTTTATAATATTATAATGATTTTAGTATATAGAGGCTGATAATTTAGAACACACTATGAAAACAACAGATCCTGTATTGTATCACGAAGCTTGGCAACAACTTTGTAAAAGCAAGTAAGCGTTTGATTTATGTTCACAGAATTGTATGTCATTGATTCTCATTTACTTCAAATTTTAATGATGCTTATGCTCCTTATAGTGGCGTTATAGTACCAGGTGGTTTTGGCAAAAGAGGCATGCAAGGAAAAATGGAAGCATGTAAATGGTGTAGAATAAATGATAAGCCGTATTTAGGTATTTGTTTGGGGTTACAAGTAGCGGTCATTGAATTTGCAAGAAACGTCTTGGGCATTGAGGACGCCAATAGCATAGAAGTTGATCCGCAAACTGATCATCCTCTTGTTATAGACATGCCAGAACATAATCCAGGTCACATGGGTGGAACCATGAGACTTGGAAAAAGACGTACTATATTTACAGACGATAATTCTATTATAAGTTAGTAAGAAAATATTTTTTAAACTTAATTTACTGCATGTCTTTTACTCCGAAAATCTTGTCTAGAATGATATATTTTATATATATATATATATATATAGGACAATTGTATAATAATAAGGAGTATATAGAAGAAAGACACAGACACAGATATGAGATTAATCCAAAATATATTGATGCTTTAGAAGAAGCTGGCCTGAAGTTTGTAGGTAAATAACAAAAAAAATCCCTTACTGACTGATATTTTTAATGTAATAGTTATTACTATTATAAAAATTAAAATTAATTTATTCCTTTCTTCAGGCCATAATGAGGACAAACAACGTATGGAAATAGCAGAATTAAAAGAACATAGTTACTATATTGCTACTCAATTCCATCCGGAATATTTATCAAGACCATTAAAACCTTCACCTCCATTCTTAGGATTAATCTTAGCTAGTGTTGGAAAATTAAAATCCTACTTAGCCAGAGGTTGCCGATTTTCACCCCATGATATCAGCGACAATGAATCAGGTAATAAGAAACATACATTCTTTCATATTTCGATGACTATAATTTGCTAATTTTCGTTTTTAGCAGATAACGATTGCCTATATGATTCCGTGGCAAAACAAGTAACGAGTGCAACTACTAGTAGAAGTAGTAGCACTACGTCTGCCGTTACTGATTAACTTTTATCATTCATGTTACGATAACAATATCTTTAATGATGAAAATATATTTGTATGTACATGTGGTAGGCTGACAAACAATTTTTATTCTAAAAAAAAAAAGATACGAGATACATTTCAAAACGTGTGTACTATATTAAAGTTACACTAGTGTATTATGGATATAGATTATATAATTATATTTTAAAATATATGCGAAACACATTACATGCCAAAAAATTTAAATAATAGTTTTGTATTGAAACATTTGAATATTCCCAAATCAATGGTTCTTTTGTTTTGAATAAAAGTTTAATAGTATACAGTTTGATATTATCGTTAAAATTATTGCATGACCTATTTTTTGTTATTTTTAATTGCATATTTTTATAATCTAAGTTTAAAAAAATTATCTTATGGTTCACTTTTATTATGTACAATATAGTTCTTTTAATTACTAAATTTTTAATTCTTTCATAGATCTGTATATATACTTTATAAGTTTCAATTTTTTAGTAACACATATGAAAGTATAAAATTAATCTTTTAATATAATCATGGCAACCTCCTAAAACTTGCATCATTACAAATTACATAATTCGCATAATTAGTTGTATTTGAAGGAATTATTGTTACAAAGTCATAGTCAAGACTTTTATTTTTATTGAGCAGTACATGCGTTCTGCTGAATACAGTATATAAAATATACACTGCCATATTATTACAGTAAAACATTTTGCTTTGTATAAAAATGACGTATGTACACTCTTACTGTTACACGTACAGTATACGATATTATTGATACTAGATTATTGTTAGGTTACAATAGTGAATTCGGATTATTAAAATTTAAAAGAAGAAATAAAATATCTGTAATACATAATAAACAAATGTAAACAAAATAAATACAAAAAATTAAAATGCACTTTGGACGGTAAGCATTACAAATAATACTGAAAATATTTTTCGCAAAAAAAAAAAAAACACAAAAAAACAGAATAAGTATTTTACATGCAACAGAAGTTCTGAAGTTCGGACATTTTGTATATACAAGTAATCTTTTATCGTTGATAAAAGGTAACACAATTTGTACACGAGACACAAAGACTTAGATTTTATGAAAATACGATCCATACTCAACTGATTGTTAACATAACTTGGCAAATAATATTAAAAATAAAGGTACTGACATTTTGGGAATATGAATAATTGTTCTCATTTAAAAAAAAAAACTAAATGTAAAAATAAAACAAGTATTTAGCGTATTACTATCCTGCTGTACTGTCAGATCTAAATTACAGAAGTACATGATAAATATCTATGCACCTCAGAATCTAAAATAACAACAGTCTGTAAATAGTTCTTTGCTACTTCTTAGTTTTAGTAATTTGCTATCAATATGATAATTCGTACTAAGTATCAGAATAAATTTAAAAATATAATTTTAATAATTTAATCATACAAATATAATGGTAATCTTCACTTTAAAGAATAAAACCAAATAAAGAAAAAAAAAATCTTCAAATATATAAACAATTACTTTAATTTCCTTGTGAAATATCTTTGCAATAAACTGATATTGCGTACTAATATTAAACACTAATTAAATACAAACTTCTACGTCCAATGCTCAATCTTTTAAGGAAAATTTCCTTACCATTGTATCAGTCTGATATTTTTTGTTATAAGATTCGACAAACTTGTTGTATTACATTATTAAATTTAGCAGCCTTCATAATCTTTTTACATAGTGAAAAGGGAGTTTCGTATTATTCGTTTTATAAAATCTTTTGTATGACACTTCAAAGTGCACTTATAAGCATATTTTATCTATAAATATTCTAGCGTTAATGATAGTATAGAATAAATTCGTACTTAAATAAACCATTCTTTCTTCTTTTGAACTTGATGGCCCGTAGCAGAATGCACAACTGCCGAGTCTGGATCCAGTGCTATTTCAGCACCTTTATCTTCTTGCGTTAAGTATTCACCTTTGTGTCTCGACATGTATCTTCCTATAAGTACTGCCATTACCACTAATGCTATAATAATAATAGCTAAAACACTTCCCAAAATTGCTGTATCAGTTTCGTTGTAAGCAGCCCGAACTTTCTCTTCATCTACCTGAGGGGGCGGACGAGTTTCAATAATATCAGGTGGGTGTGTGATAGGTTCTACACCACAGAAATCTTCTGTAAGAGAGGTACCCAAAGAACGAACGTTTCCTGGTCCATTTTCTTGGAACAATAGTTTCAGAGGGTAAATATCATCAAACTCTACTCTAGATATACAACCAACAAATCCCTCTGTCATAGATTCATTTCTTCCTATGTACATGTACTGAATATTGTTGAACTGTGCATCAGCAGAAGCTTTGATATTAAAATTAAATTCTTTTGGTTCATAATTATCTACCGTCAACACCAGAGTCGCCCCCGAATTCTTTCTGCCTACTCTGACATCGTGATACTGTCCTAAACCGAAATGTTTATTGGGGAAAATAACTTCCTGACGTTCAAAACCGAAATCGAAGACGACACGCAAATGTCCACTGTTTGAAACCATGATCGTCATATATTCTCCGGATATATTCGAAAAAAGACCAAGTAAAAATCCTTTAGGATTCGTCGTTGTAAAACCAACTCTAATATTCTCAGAAATCGTTGAACGCCAACTACCCATAAAGTCGTACTTTATTATAGAACTGGGGCGCATATTAACACCAATTTCTATAAAAAAAGAATTCCATCGTTATACAAAATAATGTCCAAACATTATTATTTTTTACAATACAATAACTATTTACATACCATCAGCACAAATAGGACCCTTGAATGCTGTCCAACGACAGTCACAGGAATATCCATCGTATCTTTCATGGCATGTACCATTGTTAAGACATGGATTGCTTTCACATTTGCCCGTACAACCTTCAGAAACTCCATACAGGCCTTGGCGTGCATAGGTTCTTAAGTCTTGCAACTGACCATTCAACAGAAGTGCTCTGATACAACCCACGTAACCATCTCTGTATTCTGTTGTAGCACCAACTACAAGCTCTGATGTGAGGTGAAGTGCTCTCACTGGTCCTGGAGGTTCTCGCACTTCGTTCTTCAATGCTCCATCAACTACGATTCTAGCTTCCTTACGATTTCGTTCAACAGACACGGAATGCCATCGATTATCAGCTAATCTATATGACGTTTGCACACTGACGGTGAGTGGGCCACTGCCTGCTAAATACTGGAATTGCATCTGGTTTCCACTGACTATAGAGATCTTTATGTAATCCGTAGGTCCTTTACTGTGAATTATTACAGCGTCATCTATGGTTGTTTTGAACTCAAAAAAGATATCACCGCTGTGACCGATATCAAAGGTTGGTAGATTGATAGTAGCATCAACAATGCGGAATGTTACTACGTTCATGAACAAATCTACAATAAAACAGAGCGTTCGATTATTTTACAGTGGAATGTAATATGTACTTTTATATCTGGGCACAAGTGATAAAGGTAACTACAAATTTGTCGGGTTAATACAAATGTGTGGGAATTATTAAATACATTTTGCTAATTACTGTTGCAAACAAATGACTACATCTAAACGCATACTGTATCTTACCTGACTTTACCTTGGTAGACAACCAAGGTAATTTAGAACCTTACAAACAATTTAAAATGAATTAAATTTTCTCATTCACATGCATAGCATTGATTTAATTTCTTCAACTTACCATCACCTTCACAGATAAGAGGGCCAAGAGTGTAACGACCCTCTTTGTCATCGACTGGTGTACCAGTGTCACCAAATCGTAATTGTTTAACAGGAAGATATTCTTTTTCAGTAATATCACCACTATCTTCGAGAGGACCATCCAAGTCAGCATCGCAATTGCACCATTTAGTAGAATCCGCACAATTTCCAAGGATACCACATTCACATTTACGCGAACCAGGTAATGCACCTCCCCAATAGTCCATTTTTTGATTATTCCTACTAACCCACCATGAATTTGGTCTAAAATAGTCCCCCTGTGGTACTGCAATTACAAAAGTGTTACTAATAATATTAATAATCATTCAATACTGGTACATGGATTATTCATATTTACACTAAACTTACCTGGTGAATTAAATAGTTTAGAATGTATACATTCATAACTAATTCTCTGTCTACAACTCATGGATCTATTGAGAAGAGCTACAATTTGATCCATATCTGCATCGTAAATAATATCTTGGACGAAACTACCCGGTTCTTGGAACCCATCTACGGGTGTCATGCGTTCATTGTTATGTCGTAAAATCGTTCTCACACGTCCATCCGTGAAGAATTCACAAACTACTGGGAATGGTTTTAATGGACCACTTCCATCGACATCTATTTTGATATCTGCTCGTTGATTAACTGAATTGATGTTTTTATACGCGTCACATGAGAGAGGATTTAAAGCTGTATAAAGGATAATGAAATATTAATTTACATTGGAGTATTTGAAACTTAAATAAGTAATGTATATCTACTTACAAGTATGACAAACAGCTCCGGTATATCCTGTATTGGCACAATCACAGAAGAATTCATCAGAATTTTGACGACAAATCCCAGAGTGCTTGCATGGATTTGGATTACAACGATCCATCATTTGGCAAGCATCGAAAACTATCTCGTTTTTACAACAATACTCTTCCTCCTTCCAATCAGTTGGTAACTTATAATTACCATCGATGCTTATCATTCGCATACAACCAACGAAACCTCGATTGCTTTCCACTCCAGTCACACCACCGACTAAGTACACTGGCCCAGTTGTCATTTCTAACATACGTTTAGTCCTCATAGGCGTTCCATCAACATTTAAAACGAGACTGTTCTTGGAGATTGTTAAGATAACTTGATGCCATTTACCATCGTCAAAATTTTCATCAAAATTGTCTAAAATTATTCGTGGACTTTCTTTAGTTTGAATATCAACCTTTAGTTTACCATCTTCTAAGAACAGCTATAAATATAAAAAAGTATTAAATACATATATTTTTATTTAGAAGGAGAACTACCCAAGTGTAACGCTTACTTATTAATGAAACTTTGCCACCTTGTAGAGCTCGTTGAGCTGAACACGCCT